ACGTCAACCCATTCACCATCGGCATCCTCCTCCTCCTCACTGAGACTGGCACTTTCCCAGCCATCTTCATCATCTTCAGCATTCTCTTCCTCTTTCTCAACTTCCAGAATTTCTGCTCCTGGAATGTAGTCTTTAGCATCTAATTCCCCATATTCTTGTACCCTTGTTTCTACTGAGGCTTCTGTAGGCTTTCCCCGGAATTTCTTGTGCAACATCTGAGGATTTAGTGTTCGGAAAAGCTAAATCAAAGTTCTAGCGGACATCATCACATTCTTATCTTTGTGTGTTTTATACTGGGCCAGGTCTTGGAGAAGTTCTTCAGTCATGGCTAGAGGGCATCGAGCATTGATTCCTACTGTCATCACTTCGCCAGAGTTCTTGTCAGTAACGAAGTTGTTGGCCACAGTCATGAGCACTGACTGAATAATCTCCGGGGGTACCAGGTGATGAGATGCTTGTGCAGCAAACAGAAGGATCTTTGTTACATCTCTTTGGTGGGGCTGCAGAAACCTTTGAACAAAGGGGTAGAAGTTAAAGAGGAAAAGCTCATGAATTCCCACCAATCTGGAGATAAGGTTCATGAGCATCATCTTCACCTCAAATCTCTCTTTAGAACTCTCGAGTTGTTTTAGTAGTTTTTCTGCAAAATCTTGGGGATCATGAATCAAGTGGATGGCTGAAAAGTTAAATACTTCTGGCTTTTTCTTCTTCTTTTGTTTCTTGAGCACTTTCATAGCCTTTTCCAATTTTTTCTTGTGTTTGGAGCTTTTCTTCCCTGTGGCATATTGCACTAGAAGGTCTCTCGCTGTTGGTCCTTCATCCTCGGATTCTGAGTCGCTGTCCTGTTTCTCATCTTCATCTTTTCCCAGGAAGAATGTCAAAGCAGCAACTAATATCTTGGTGACATTAGAGAAGCATGCCGTTGTGATAACATTGACAGTTTTAGCATCATTCCAGATGTTTCTTCTATAGAGTTCAATCATCACATCCAAGGATATCTTGGCTGCAGTAGCATTGCTGTCTCTTAACATGGTATACATGAAATTTTGCAATACTACATTCACTTTACTGTTCTTGTGTTTTGCATTTATGTTCTTGATATCAGTCACAAT